AAAAACTGAATTACTCACAAAATGGGCTTATTTTCAAAAGAAAAAGAATGAAGAGAGCTTAATATTTTTCTCCAAGCGCAATTTTTTGTGCAATTGAAAATTGTTCAAAATTTTTCTTTGCCTAATCTAATACAATGTGCCAGAAAAATTTAGACTCTTCCCCGGGGGGAAAAGGAGTGATTTAAATCCCGACAACATGCAACATTTATTTCATTCCTAAAGAATACAGAGTCATCTAGTTGTGAAAAGAGCAATTTACTTCTTTCCGGAAAATTTTAACTAGTTCCTCGACGAAAACAAAAAGAAAAAAAGACTTAGATCTGTTTCAAAGTGAAAACGATTTATCGGATATAAGCTGCCATTTTGTCGTTAAGCACTGTCTCCTTGACAACACGTATCTAACGGTTAGCCTCGCAATGAGCTCAAATTGAAAGAGAATTCTTTCTTTTCTTGTTTATTGTTTCCAGATTTTCAAAATATATCGACATTTATTGCCTTATTGCTAGACGGTGAGATCCAAAAATATTAATAGCATCTTTGAGATTTGTTATTTTAAAGATAATTCTCAGCTGTATCTTTTTCAGACTTTCCAAGATGCCGAACTTCAAAGAGCAAACTTGCTCACAACATTTGAACGTCTGGCAAATAACACCGGTATGAAATGTTTTGATAAATCTTCTTATTTCTTTGTTGTATTCTTCCTAATCATCTGAAGAAAATAGTTTACTTTATCTATAACTTCACTTCAAAACATTAAAATAGATTGTCACTATATCTATATCACAATGTCACTATCCTCATACATCACTATAACAATCAAACTATCACTAAATATTGCTGTATATAATTTGGTCTTTATTTTAAGCTCCAAATTTAAATGAAGGTTATTCTGAAAAAGCATATTGAGAAACGTTTAACAAGTTATTTTTATCGAGCATCTACTCAAAAAGCGTTAAACTTAAGAGCTATCAAATAAATACATAAATTATTTTTGTATTTTTTTAAATATTATGTATAAATATATCCAAACTCCACACCAGACCAGTATCCACCTACAACGGCTATGTTTTATAATAAATGCATCTTCGTAGATATTCTGCTGAAAATTGCCAAAGGTTTGACAGACAATGGTGATAAAAATGCAGAAATCATTTCAAAATTGTCAGACTCTTCGTACAGACGGTCGGCTTTCAAAGACGTAAGTTGTGGCCTTGGCATCCTATTTCAAATGATTTGTTCAACTGCAAATAATATCCTTCGAATGCTTTGAAATGAAATGAATGCTTTGAAACAGACTGGTTATAATTGGTTAAAAAAATTGTGAGAAGAAGGTCTCACCGGAAGGAAAATTATACCTTCCAAAGCTATCATACTACCATAAAAAGCTGTTCCTTCTAATTGCACGATGGTTGAGAGCAAATAATATTGTTAATGGGCAGTTTGATATTCGCAAGGAAATGTTAGTAAGCTTTAGGAGTTCAACAAAGAAAGCGAAAAAATTGCTGTATTACTGCAATCAACTATCTTCTTAGTTGCTCAATGTTTATTTTCAGTTGAAAACCCACGCCAGTGTCTGCATTAATGACCTCGCCAATGCCAATGCCTTGGTAAGAGACCAAATTCGTTTCTATAAATACTTACAAACTTTTATGCAAAAACATACCTCGATAGGAATCCCGGCTTTGGATCAATTGATCTATGACCAGGTATACAAAGTGCAGGATGCTGAATTATAGGGAGATATCATAAGTAGTTCTTTTGATTTTCTAAAAAAATAGGAAAACTTTTTGGCTATTGTCAACAAATTTCCAGGGTTTTTGAGCACTCATCTATTTCTATCAGTCGCGAAAGAAAGATCCCAGACAGTCGATTGTAGACAAATACATTATCAACTATCCCAAGGTTTACTGGCGAACTATCGACAAACTATTAGGAAGTCAGACATTCATATTGCTCGCCTGATGCCACCTGGATACATCAATTATAGTCTCTTCATCAGGTCATCGAAAAGGTTCGAGAATATCAATCGAACCTGAAACTAAGGCAGCCATATTAAGAGTTAAGTTCAAAACGTCGTACTAACAATTCATTTCTTGTACAAAGCCGCTATTTTACTACATATTAACTTTTGTTCATTACAACACAAACAACTCCATTGATTATCAATTTTTTATACTCCAGTTAGTGTATAACGTCACTATAAAGCTACAAAAGTCATATTGAGTCGCATCTTCACAAAGTTTAGGTTTCCAACCATTGCTGATGACTCAGTTGGAAAAATTTTAGTTTATGTTTTATTATTCTCTTAGGTTGATGATTATAACGCATGCTCCAAGCTTGAAAACATTGGCAACATTGTGCAGGATATTGTCAAATCGTTGGATCACATTCTTTCCACAATCGAAGATTTAGAAAAGGTTTGTTCACAATAAATTTCATTTTAGCTATAATGTTCAACAAAAACAAACAATTACTTGCTTTAATTCACAAATTATGATGCTTTACTTTCAAAACTATCCCATTTACTAAAATGTTCCCGGAAATCTTTATCCGCAGAGTCCAACGATTACTACAGTCATAAGCATCGAAATACGTCTTCTACTCGACTTCTCTACACTGGATGTAGATGAAAGCATCAAATCTTTCAATAAAATCAAAGAAGAACTCATCGAAGACTTTCAAGTCTGCGATCTGAGTGGCAAAGAGGAGTTCGATGTAAAGATGATGTTTGGTGCTGGTGTTTTTAGAATTGGTCCTTGCAAATTCGATCAAATTGTGGCAGTGAACCAAAATGTCGCCCAACGAGATCAAGCTCCGTTTTTAGAAACAGGAATCAAGGGGCAAAAACGAAAAAGACAAGACGACGTTGCTGTCCATGATTCGTCCTTTGAAGAAAGGCTGGAGCAGTCAAAGAAAAAGGCGAAGAAGGATGCCGTACGAGAATGGGAGACTGAAGAAAGCATGAGACTCTCCACTGACTGTAGCATAAGCAAAAATGAGTTCGTAAGAGCTTGGCTTAAAAGTCAGTTTAATGTGTCATACGAAATTAAGGCACCAAATATCCTACCAGTCTTTCAGAAATATGAAAGAACGCCTGATATTTCAGAAAATGGCCAAAACAACAATCAAATATCGCCATTAAATTCTGACAAAACGTCTCTGCTGACTTCCAAGCTTAGTAATTCCCTCCATATTAATCTAAAAGGGTGTAGAGACTACCATTCTCCACCTTTTGTAGCCTCAGAAAAAGTCACAAGGCAAAGCCTTTCCATAAAAAATGAAGCTAAGCCATCCGAAGATATCGTCAGTCAAAAGAATGACTGTAACCAATTAAGCGAATCAATAACCCAAAAGCCAAATTCTGCTCCCATAGCTAGATGTAGCCTAAAACAGCAAGGTTTGATTGGGCAAACTGCTACAGTTAGTCGACCAGAGTCTCTGAAAATAGTTTTCTATAAAACTGATAGAGGCAACTGGGCAGTTAAAAATAAGTCTTTTGAACGCACAGTAATGCAGACGGAAAGTCGTAAAACGGATCGTAAAAAACCAGAGGTAATGACATTGAAAGCTGATAGTGTATCAAAAGAAATAGATGCGGAAAAGAAGGCTAGAAAGCGTTTTGAAGTGTTAGAGAGAGTTAAAAGAGCTTTAGCTAGGGACAGATCGAATAGAAAGGAGAAGAAAGGTCCCCTTAGAAAGACGAGATTTGGCCGCATAAGAAAACAAGTTTCAAATCTTTTTGAGATGAAAGCTCGTACGATCAGCAGAAATTTCAGATCTTGAGCACTTAACATTTCCGTTTACGGCCCATATCTCAAAAGGTAGAATAAACAGATAATGTCTCCTACCAATCGACCCCCTCTCCTATCTTTATACTTAGAAGGCGTACAATAGTAAAAAGTTGATTTAAAATGGCAAGGGTAAATGGACAAATAGCTGTAATTGTTGGTAAATTCATCACCTTGATGACACTTAACTAACTGAAGTGTATTTTAAGAGCATTCGAAGTAGGTAATTAAAAAAGACATTGCAAATTAGTAATTTAATTGAATTTTAAATGCATAATAGCAAATGTATCCTTAAGAAGATATAATATAAATAGAATATGTTTAAAACAACACTGAGTCTTCTTTCTGAGTTTTCTGAAAAGATTGACATGTGGAATTTGTTTATTTAAATATAAATGATTTTGTTTCTCTGCGAATCCAAGTATACATTTAAGAAAACAAAGCAAACAGGCGCGAGGTTACAAAGAATACAGTTGTGTTAAAAATTTCACAGTAGATTGTAGTTGACGAGAAACGAAGCCGACAATAAAATGATATGAGATGTATGAAGGAATTCAGGGCCAGATTAAGGTGGGTACTAATTGTGCTGCAGTATCAGACCTATTCTTGAAAGAAAACAAGAGGAAAGCAGACAAAAATCTTCCTGAAGCTGAAAAGGCCCAATGAAGGGCTCTTATCGTCCGGGTGCATCAGGCCCAATGTGGGCTAAATCTGACACTGGATAACAATTAGACTGCGACAGCAAGGAATTAAATTATGATGATGCCACTATGTATCACATGTTGGATCTGAGTCCTCTCATCGTGGTTCTGCTCATCATATTGGTAATTGGAAGGGTTTTTGGAAACAAGAGTGCAATCAGCCTTAAAATATGAATGGTTATAGTTAAGAGCCCTGTAATAAATTATTCTTGGCAAAATCATTATTGTCACAATTTGGAAAAAATAAAATATACTGGCACCACGAAATGTATCTTTAAATAAGTTTATGCCTATCTAGTTTTTCAGTACGGTAAAATTTGGCATGGAAACTTTTAAACAAATCATGTATTTGCTAATTGAAAGATGCAAAGCATACTTCTGGTTTTGCAAAGGTGGTTTTACGTA